GTTTCTGGATTGGTGAGGCCCCAGCGGCCACACTCTTTTTGCTCTGACCTCGGCCTGACGATGCAGGTGGTTCTGAAGCAAGTGATCTCTTCTTGGACTTAGCCGGGCCTTTCTTGGTCTCTGAGGTATTGTCTCGGGGTGGTGGGAGCGATTTGGGCTTCTTGGCAGGGGTCGGTGCAAAGGTACTAATTTGGTCAGGAGCTGCACTTCGCTTCAGCCCTCGGGTGCCTTCACTCTTAGACTGGTGGCCTGTTCGTTCTTGTTCAGATGTTCCTGCAGCCTCTGGGTCGTCTTGTAACACAAATGAAGCCACGGACAGAGTAAGACCGCTTCTGTTAGGGAGCAAAAGGAACGACAAAGCGCCATCTTAGAAAATTTCTGAAATCGGAAAAATTATGAATTACAGTGCAACTATCACCTGTAAGCAGTTTACCACTTATTCAGGTTTAGTACAAAGTTCAAAGATGTACAAGTTGCATAACAGTAATGGATGTAGTTCAAACCCTAAACATACACAAACATACACTAAGCACCAAGTAGAAAATAGGGGTACCTTCTTGAGCTGTGCCCTCTGGACTGGCCAGTGGCTGAGCTGGCTGTGGCTTTGGGAGCCTTAGAATTAGGTCTTCTACTTTCAGGTGGGGAATTTGCTTTATGTTTTACCTGCTCTGACTGCAACCTGTAAGGTTGGAAATTAAAGAGCAAGGAACAGTGTGGGTTTCTGTAATCAAGCCACATAAAAGAGCCTTGATCAATCCCCAAATCATTTTGCCTGACTGCATCTGCATATCCTCTAATCATTAACACCTCTGGAGTAGCATGAAGAACAGCAAAAAGAGAGTTAATTAATCACCATCTGACAATGATAAAAGAATGCAAGATAAGCTTCTTCTTTGATTAAGGAAGTCAATAGAACCATTCAAAATTAAGTTAAAATTGTAATCAGCTACATACCAACACCACCCAAACACAAATTCCCCAGCACTAAACATCTGCCTCATCTGTTGCTTTCTTCAAAACAAAAAAAAAAGCCCAACGAATGTTCCTCAAAAACTATGACTGCTACCTGTTATGGATTCAGATTTGAACTAAAACTAGAAGATAAATGTGCAGTTAGACTCACCTTCCCGCGACTGTGTGGTCTTGTGGCTGGGCCGCAGCAGTGTTCCTCTGTGAACGGCGCAGTGACCCCCCTGGATTGGAATTAGGCCGGTTGGACATTGGCACCTCTCTCCTGAAGGGACATACCCTTTCTAGACACTACCATTCACTGCAATCAAAGAGAAGGAGAACATATGTGAATAGTGACAAAATGCCATAGTGAGCTTTGCATGTATGATGGTCTCCTTTAACTACTGGCTGTCCATTGTCTATAGTTCAAAATAAGCTACTGTGCTCTACAAACTTTGAGACCATAAAGCCCAAGTTCCCCCATCCAGCCTATTTGATATGATCACAACAGTCTCATCATTTTATCTAAGATTGCACATCAAGATACAACCTCTCACCAGAAAACGACCAGCTAATCCTATTACTGACATTAGGATTGTGTTTGGGCTGCCAGAAAGACCACATACAATGAGCCACACAACTCAGTTAATACAATCAAAAACAAGACAACTTGACAAGATTTTACAGACTTTATGTACACTGAACCTCAATTCTTAAAGAGTTTACCCAATCAATTGATTTCCTTTTGAAGAAAATCTTGTTAAATCCACAAAGAATTTTCAGTAGTCTTGCCACAATAGAAAAATATGTATATGTATGAACAACTTACCATAAACCATAAAATGACCCTTAAACATGAAATTATCTGTATCAAACTCTAATATCATGATTTTAACAGACAGCCCTTAATAGAAGGTCAACAATTTTGTCAACATGTATCATGAATACAAACTGTCCTATACTTTAAAATTACCCCCATGTATCCTGCCTAATCTAAATATACTTGTATTTTTATATCCTTGCCCTTTTAACCCCTTGACAGGAGGGACCACTTGTGTTAATCCATCCAGTAATAATAATATTCTATACAATCTCACTATATAGCATGAACACAACAGCACAGGTCTCTTTTGAGTATTAATGAGCAAGGTCACAACCAAATCAAAATAAAACACCACCAGGCAGTCTGCAAATCAAACAAATAAAAAAAGAGAATTATTTTTCTCAAACCCTTTATAATACCAACAGTAGCTGAAATTCTTGAAAATGACCATAACATATAGATATCTGACAAAGAGAGCTTATTGTCAGGGGCACAGTCCAGCAACCATTTAAGTCAGGACATTAAATAAAATGTCTTCCACATGTGAAGAATTATATTCTATATGAAGCTCCCTTAAGTCAATGACATGAGGGTACTGATAAGAGAAGTGATTGATATGGTTTCAACACATGCAGCAGGATGATTTATCATTTGATAGACAAAGTCTACTGAATTGAAACCTAAATACGTTTTGCCATCTAGAAAAGAAAAATGACTAATTCACCCATATAGTCAAAGTTTAAACCTTGATATCCTGGATATTGATCATAAAAATACGCCACACTTGCCAAGCTTACAGGGCCATGTTAGGCCTGCACTGACAGTGCATCCTAGTCTTTGTTATTCGTCCATTCTGACAACTGGTGCACCACACTCGCGTATAATGTGATTAGTTAAGCACATCAAATGATCGACAGTTTAAAACACTCGCCAGTAGTAAGTTTCTTATAGTACACCACTAAACAAGCACGATAGTGTCCAGTTTTTATAACCATGATTTACATAGGCCTGTATTTCTGACGTAGTTGTCTACCACCACCGACTACCGTTAGCATGTTTAGCCAGTCATATCCTAGCCAGTCCCATACATTTTGACAGTAGCTTAGTCGCATCCGCATCTTTACATAAAACTCTCACGACCCAAAAGCGAAGCTTGTAGCCGCTAGATGTTGAATACAATGACGAGAAAATGCTAATAGGCTAGCAATTTCATACCAGAGACTAGTTAAAGTTACGTTGGCTAACGTAGCAATGGTTACATGGAAATGCGTAGTTGGCGTACCGGTGTGTCAACCTATTTAGCTAGCTCCCCAACTAAACCAACTGCCCAATTCGACAGCAACCTCGTTTGTACCTTATTTGTAGTATGAAACGGCGAAATCCTTACTAAGAGGTAAAGAAGGCCCCTAAGTGGCAAATAACGACTACGTTCACTTGAGATTAGCTACACATCGAAAATGGCAGCATCGACTGGACCGTCTTTCGAAAGCGGTTTAATGTAATAAAGCTAGCAGGCTAGAAGGAACCAACGTAAGCTAACTTTGTATTCTGACTGCCATGACACACTGGTATGTGTCTGGCTGACAATCAAGTTTAAAGAAAAAAATATATACACGCTTCGCACGCAAGTTAGCTCACCTTCTATACTGTTTGATATGGTGGTCAAATCCAAAATACACAACTGTCAAGTCGACAGGTGACGACGCAGATACAGTGCCACTCTCTTAGCAACTGTCAACGCAAATGTTGTGTACAGAAGTGTAGCTAACGTTAGCAAGCTAGGATATGTAATGTTTTCTAAGCTGACTTAAGGCCAATGCCTGCCTCTCATTACAGCGCTGGCTAGCGTTTAAGCTACTGCTAGCCAGGCAGAAACAACTTGATTACAAACAAACAACGCGTAAACAAGGCCCATGGTTCTTCTTAAAAGTGAGACAAAAGAGGCAAAATAACGCCAAACACCTTATTCAGCCAACGTTAACTATATTGGCCACAATGACAAGTATCGAGGCTAGTGAATTATTAGCAAGCTAATGCTAGCTTAGCCGAGTAAGATAGCGAGTGCTTCTTCAATGACCGTTCGCTCGCAAACACTAAGCTGACAAAAATAAACACTTGGCTGCTCGCTATACACGTTAGCCCTACTGGTTGTTATTAATTAGGCCAGTTGTCCGGCTGACAATAAATCGCTGACCTTATCAATACCGAATGAGCTATTGCGGGACAGTCACGCAGCTGACGTTTAGCGATGTTAAATCAAACAAGAACGTTATAGCTATTACTAGCTAACCTTGGCATGTAAGCTAATTAATATTAGCAAGCCTTGTTGTCGGTGGCTAACGCTTTGCCAGCTCGACAGGATAGTAAATGGGATTTCTTTTACAAATAGCAGCCCCGGTACAACTCACGAATTCGGTGTTTTGGGTGCAGTTTTGTCAAATTTTATTAACATTAACAAGTTGTCTAGCTAGCAGCTAGCACGTTAAGGCTAGCTAGCAAAAAGAAATGGCCTCTGATACATTTTAGACACAAAAAAACAGGAAAGCAGGAACGGGATTCGAGATATTTTCGCAACACTGAATCATAATTCCTCCGATGTACTTCGATACTGAATAACCTCGAAAGTCCAAAAGACTGTTGGCCGAGATGTCACTGAAAAATTCTAGCTTTGGTATAATGTTGTTACCTATTTGTTCCAGTGTTGTAGTTGTAACAGACAGTGCACCAGCTCCTCTTTTCTCTCTCTACCCCTGCTACTTTCACATCAGCTGAGGGGCCTACAACTGCAATATACATCCGCGTGATTCATCCGCTCAGGGACTAGTTACCTCTGTTTTTCGGCATCTGCTTGTTTTGAGTCAACAAAGCTGCAACGACCAGTGGGTGTATTGCTCTGTACATGTATGTCCATATGTTTTTCATATAAAAAGATCGGGCAACGCCTGAAAGTATCTAGACACAATCACTGCAACACTGAAGACATTGGTAACATTAGCTTGTCACAAATATTAAGTATTAATCCGCTGGGTCGTGACCCCCCTCCCCCCCTTTAATACACATACATAAAATAGTTATCTCTACAAATTAATTTGACGCCCTGTATTACATTTTTTTTTTCTTATTACCTGACATCACTGTAAAATAACATCCAACAGTTTTCTCTGCCGTTGACTAAATAACATTTTAGTAGCATTTCAGTTGTCATGGTTACACTTCTGCGTCCAAAATGGCGTTTTTACTCGGGGAGCAAATATATCAAATAAGTGGTCAGGGACCACCACCTTTAAAAGATTTTTTCCAACTTGAGATTACCAAAAATGAGGTTGAGTATTTGAATAGGTCTCTATAAAGCAGAATGACTCTGTGAAAAAGCTTGTTGATGAAATAAAAAGCCCAACCTATTAAACTGAAGCTAGCTTAATTACCATCTACAGTTAGCTAGCTTTTAACATTGCTGGGCCACTACTTCATACTTTGTAGGCTGCTTACCGTCAAGTTGAGAGGAGACTTTTGTACCATTTAGTTAAGATTTTTACTCATCAACTTTAACAATGAACTGATGGCAAAATGATACAGTATGACGTCTAAATGAACAGGCTTGTAAAATTAGTGTTTCAGTGGTTTTAAACCGTCATATTCCAGTGAATTTTTTGGTAGATAAGTTTTAGTTAATTTTTTATGCATCAAGGTTTTTTTTTTCTAGAATAAGTCACAATATCTTTAATGTGTCCTGACTATGTATTATTTTTTTGCATGTATGACATTAGGTAATTTGGAAATCATGGAAGATTTCTCTGCGGCCTGAATGGAGAGGAGCTCCACCCAGACAGCTAAAGATGGTTCATCACGATTTTCTGCATGAGAAGATGCTGCAGCGTAAGTTTTCTTCATTAGAATAATCACTACTTATTGACCTTAAATTACGTCTTTAATACTGCATACCACTTTCAATGTTTTTGGCCCTAATGTGTTCTGAATCTTGTTGTGGTACCATGTTTTGGCTGGGGTTCAGGTTTTGCTTTAAAAAGAAAAAAATGGAAAAAATTTGCAAAGAAAGAAAGAAATGATGCTCATGCTGTGCTTTGTCATCTGTAGGTGAAGTTGATGCTGTTTTTGGGCAGAGGATCCTGGATTACACAATATCACTCTGCCAGGGAAAGTTTGATTATCTGGAGCGCTTACCTGATGGCATATTGCTCAGAATCCTGTCCTACCTACAACTGAAGGACACAACACTGCTTGCACAGGTTTCACACAGATTCAGAAAGGTGAGAGCCTCTTTAAATGATAAGAGTACAAAACTCTGTTTACTCATTGATGCAGAAGTAGTGTGTTAGTTTCTATTTTGTCTTTCTCCTTTCTACATTTGTGCTTATTTATATTTGAGTGCTGATAATCACATCTGTAATTCTGCATTATGTTCTTTTGTGATTGGACTGCATTAGCTTTGCAGCTCAGAGAAGTTTTGGGAGCAGACTGTGAGGAATCGCTGTGCTGGGTTTTCTAGTGACATGGAGGGCATAGCCAGTGCCATGGGCTGGAGGAAGACCTTTTTTGCCTTTTTCCACAAGAGCAGCATTAAAAAACAGCAGTGAAAAAGAAAAAAGACAAAGTGTGAACAGTTTTATGTCTGTGTAGATTTTCAATCATCCAGGTAATGGTAAAAAGAGAGAGAGAGAGAGAGAGAGAGAGAGAGAGAGAGAGAGAGAGAGAGACAGAGAGAGAGAGAGAGAGAGAAGTCTCGTTGCTTTCTTCTAAAGCTCCTAGGACTGAACAGATTTTTTTCTGTTATGGAACAGCTGTGATGCAAATGCAATCACAGAGGATGGAGAGCCAAAATTTATTTAGCATTTTGTGAAACAAGAGTCAGATTCAGCGAGTTTGGATGTGACAAATGACACGTATTCAGTGAAGGGCTACTATTACTGGCAAGTTAAATAAAATTACTAAACTGCATAATATTGCATTAAGCATCAGATTATGTTTCTGGAATTTTTTACACATTTTTTATTTCTCTTTTTAAAAAAAGATAAAACATGATCTCCAAAAGCTTATAATAAAAAAAAACTACAATTACTGGAGTCTTACTGACATCATATCAGGTCATTGGTCGCTTTCAACATATACTTCCTGTTTACATTTGCCAGTGAACTGCTGTTGCGCCCTCTGCTGAAGGCCCTGAGCACACAATGGCGTCTGTGCCTACAGCCAGCCTGTGTTGATCTGTGGTGCTGTGTTCACTAAAGCAGCCAGCAGAGGGAGCAAAGTGGCAAAGAAAACTAGAGTCAGATGATGGAGGGAGGAGGATCAAGCAAATAAACCGTTGGGTAACGTGTGCAAAACAAGTGCTGTAGTTCTGGTTACCACATCTAGGCCTAAAGACTACAACACACTTATTCTCGGTAGAAACCTTGTGCATATTTGTGTGTAGCGGCATCTGCCACACCGGTCTTACCTCACCTGAAACCTGTACAAGCAAGCAACAGTAACGTAAGTCTAAGGAATGCACTGTTTTTTTTCTGTTTTCATGTTCCTTAGTGGATCAGTGACAACATATGGTATATTAAATGTTAAAAAACAGTTAAATACTAAAATACTGCCTTGCTGTTTCCTATTTTAACATAAAAATGACAAATTAGAAAGGAAAACCCTAGTTCTATCCTGTGTTAAGCAACGGCATGAACAGCACGTTAAAATGCAGACAGTTTTCTATAAATGTCTTAGTTCTCCTAAATATTAAATATTCCTCTTCTCAAATGATAGCTGAGTGTTCCAGTGATCTGACACACAGCCCTGACTTGTAGCTACCATGGCCTATTATTAGCCTCTGATACCGCCTTCTCAGCTGAGTCTGGTCTGGGAGGAAAAATATTCATTACGTAACAATAAAGGATCTGTCTCCCAGACTCACTTCCTGAATACCACAGCAGCAACTAGGCCTCATACTGAGGTAGAGCGGAAGCGTCATCCATTTGTTTGTTAGAGCAGGGCCGCTTGTTTTCTGCTTATCCCTTTACTCCACACATTCACCACACCACCCCTCCTTCTCAGCTCCTCTTTGTGGGTCAGTGATGCAGCCGGAGTGACGCAGCAGTGGCAGCAGCCTCCAGAAGGCAACTATGCACAGCAGGAACAGGGAACCTCTGCCAGAACCGTAGTCCACAGACAGCAGTGACGAGAGAAGATGGTAAAGGCCTGATCTGGGCCAAAGGAAGAATGGGAGCCGGGTAGTCGCTCTCCTTTCCTGCTCCTAAACAAACACCAGAGAGACTTCCACAGCGGCAGAGACAGGCCCGGCAAGACCTTCAGCACAGAAACATTTTGGTAGGCAACACCGAGTATGAGTGCTTGTTACAGCAGCAACAAAAGTGCTCCCAGGGATGAGTGCCTTTTTTATGCTACGAGTGTGAATGCTTTGAGAATGAGGATGAGGCCTACTCAGCCTTGCACTGCAGTCTTTGCCTCCCTGCTGATGAGCGTCCCTACAGGCCGGAGCTGAGCTCACTGAGCATCAGAGGCACAGAGGCCTGTGTGTTTTATCTTGTGGTTTTGAACACATCCAAGCTGTGATATCAAGGTTAGACGGCAAGGTGCTGCATATAAAATATTCCATATGAGCAACTATAGAAAGTAATATCAAAGCTTTTTAAGTTAGCACAAGGAATTGTTTCCATTTGCAGCTTTGATTCCAGTTTATCTATTTTGAATGCAAATTCAGAAAAAAAAGTTTCTATTCTTTAAGTGACGCAAATAATGATTCCCAACCTTGTAAACTGCAAAGCATGCGTTCCCAGTTATAGAAAACTATAAAGGAGGGCCTTGGTTGTTAAAACTGGAACGGTGGTTGAAGAAGGTCCGCTATGACGCATCACATGGTTTTGGAGTTAAATATGATTTATTTATTGATTTATTGCTGATGTGTTTCAGGTGACGTGCATTTTTAAGTAAAAAGAGCACAGTGTGCTTACTAATTTGTGATTATTTTATATTAGGACAATATTTAGACGAGTATGCAAATAGAAAAAAAAATATGACGGTACCCACCATCAAAATCCGGAGTCATTTCCTGCCACTGAAGTTAGAGAGGAAAACTTTAAATACGACACAAGCTAAAAAAATAACTCCCCAAAAATACGTACCGCACATTCTTTTTACATTCTTTAACCTACAACTTCTGTTGTTGCATCCACCAAGAGTTCAGGTTTTATTTATTAATTTGACCTCTTCTAATGTGCGTCTTTGCCTTGAATTTGAGAACCACATACACACACATACATCCACACACACACACACACACACACACACACCAACCAAAACAACAGGTGGCTGCTATGAATGGACAGAGCTGTGATACCAGGAAGAAAATAAATATCTTGAAAGTTAAAGGACGTCGCAGCGAGTCATGATCTGTCCTGATCTGACGTCCTGATCAGTATGTGACCTGTGGATGTTAAAACGTGGGACAGAAATTGAGGTTTCTGGAAAATGTAGTGCAAAAGCTTGATACAGCCTGTGAGCACATGGACTCCAGACCTGTGTTAAAGTAGGAAGATAATGAGGACCTTATTGTTGCAGTCTGTGGACAAGTTGGTAAAAATATTTTTATCTCATTAAATATTTTATGGTAACATGAGCTGGACAAAAGTCTCTGAGGGTATTACTTCATGTCATTTCTCTGTAGTCTTTTGCAGTCAGGAAATTTATGCCTGTGTTGTTATTAAAGGAGTGTGTGCAGCTGAAAGCACAGACAGACAGTGGGATCACATCTATCTACTGGCAGCAACTAATGGACAAAAAATCCAAGCCTATAAAAGAAAAAAGAAAAAAAAAAAGAGCTATATATCACTACAGCGTTGATGTGATAACAGTTTTTGTGCCAGATAGATTGCATGCTCTAGTGGATGGTTTTGTTGCTTATTAAGTGCTTATTAAATAGTTACTTTTAAAACCTTGATGAATGCTAAAGTGCATTGGTAGAATTAAAATGAATGATGCTAAATGAAATTGCAAGCTTAATAGGCGACATTTTTAATGTACTTTGCTGGATTTTTAGTTTCTTTACCTATTTGTTTTTGTGGAATACTTATATTGTTTTCATGCATATTTGTTTATTTTGTTACATATATTATTTAGCTTCTATTGGTTTTACAGTTGTATGTAAAGCGGGGTTATTGAAAGCAAAATTAGAAGGCTGTGCGTAAATATTTATTTAAAGGATGATCCAAATGTGAACACAGTGGCGCCACCAACACAACGATTAGATCCTGCTGTCACACTCAAATTGATTGACAGTTATTTTTATTAAAGGGACTAATATTAGACAACTAAATCCAAGTTATTGTTTTTTTTTAAAATGCAGTTACAAGTTTGTTGAAACTGTGATATTAACTGCAGTAAAACAGTCCAATACAAAAATACATTTTTTTACCTATTGATGCAAGTACACTCAGGAGATATGTAGAGGATGATGAAGAGAGTTTTAAAATGTCTGAAAACTGGAGAACAGTGAGGAAAAAGCTGTTTGCCATGCCATCCAAAAGCTGTGGCTGAGGTTAAAAACCTTTTGCCATCTGGATAATAACCTCCCGTTTTTGACAAGCTGGCGAATGTAGGGTTCTTCGAGGAAGCACCAGAAATAGAAGAGTGAGCCTGTGGTTAAAGGTGTATTCATGAAACAAATGTGATGTGATGCATCAAACACAGGAAATGAAATGGGACGTTACATCAGCTAAGATTTTTAGAATTAGTGTGATGATTGTATTTTAAGAGAGGAAAGCTGAAGCGCTAAACGCCTTCAGGGCAATAGGGGCATGCATAATGATATAACAGCTGCTTATATTTGTCTTTTGAAGTCTGCGGTGCTATAAAATGAAACGGCTTTGAAACAGCTTTATAGATGTCTTGGTCAGGATGAAGAGAAGCCCTACACAGTCATATGACTCTTCACTCAGTTGTGTAAATAAAACAGTTGCTTCCGTCCTCAGAGGCTAGTGAGAGGCTCACAGAGCCATGTCGTGTTTAGCTTCCTCCCCTCCCCCTCGTCTGCAGTGCTGACGCATCTGCTGCTTTTGCATCAATCAGCAGCCTCTATAAAGGTATACCCAGAGTCCTCGCTGAGAGCAGGATTCTCTTTCTCTCAGCCTTGCATTCAGTTTGCATGCTCGCCGCGACTATGAGAAAAAGCATGGATGAACATCTGTCCTGCGACTGCTGTGCTACACAATAGGACAGTCGTCAGTGCCATCTTCACTCGGGTTCTGCATTACCTAACCACAGCGACTGCGTAAGCACGGACGAAGGGCTTTGGTGTAATATATTGCTGCACATGCAGAGACTGTGTGCACAAGCATCAAACAGATGGTGTAGCGTTATGCATTCAAGGTGCATGTTCTTTCTAAGTGGGCTAGGCATCATTTTGTTTCATGCAAAAGACATTTTCTTCTTTGGTCAACGACGAGCTGCATCGGGATGGAGCTGATGTGATGCTGGGGAGATTTAATACGGCATTTGCTGTGCAGCAGAGGACTCCTCACTCTATGCTGCTAATAGCTATGCAGCTGAGCGCTTTCTCTGGCTTTGGAATCGAGTACAGAGCTGGTGTGTGATGTAGCACCCTGCATCTCTCCGCTCTCCCTACAGCCCTCTGCCATGCTTAATAAAAGTTGCCGTTTCCTGCTCAGTGGCTCCAGAACGAAAGCTTCAGATGCCCAGCTCGCACAAAGGCAGACACATACTCCGGTTTAGCTACACGCCGTATAAACTGTGAGTTATTCCTATAGCTGTAGTAGGACAGAAGAGGGACAGTCAGAGGAGGGCAGGGCAGATCTAGCCCAGGACCTGGGCTGCATGGACAGAGGCGAAGGACGTTGGAGCTGGAGTCATCTGCACACAGAGAGGGAGGGAGAGGAAGAAAGACGTCAGAAAAAGCTCTGCTTCTGACAACACCACTGTTCAGCGACCATCATAGAAAAAAAACTACTTTCGCCTTGCTCTCACGAAACAGTTTTTCACGTATAGTTTGGTATATGTGTGGCTGTAGGAAAGGGATACTGCATGACATTGTTTCCTGTTCGCGGTGCATCATTTTCTCTGAATTACTAAGGTACGTTTTGCATGGTTTCCCTCAATTTCTAACCTGTTTTCTTGCGGAAGTACGCTTTGCAGAGGTGCGTGAAGTGGCTTTTGCTGTGACATTTCGCTCTTTGTTTGACAATACTGTCTGTATGCTCGACTGTCATTTCTTGGTTTGTGGTTTTGATGTGTGGGGATTTTTACTTGTAAAGAAAAAATAATTTCACTTTGGCTTTGAAGGTAAACGAAGGCTGGGTGTGGCAAATTCAGAAGTACTGATGACAAATTTAAAATTTCCGCTCAGCATGTGGCCGCAAAAAACCACAACAAATGATACAAATTGTGAAAAATGAATGTGGTGAAGTCAAATAGCAACCTAAAGGAAATGATGAAACCGTTCTGCAAACAATACAAACTGAGAAATTAGTATAAATGCGTGGCACATCACTTGCACTTCTGAGGATGCTATGATAGATGAGAAAGTCCATTTTGGCTGCAGACAAAGACACACAGACCAACACACATATACAAAGTATATTCAAGCGGAGACAAAGGCAAACCTCGGTTGCTCTGCAGACTGCTGCGTGTTGCGGGTTCTCAGAGAGGGCAGGATGTTTGTGGGAGAGAGAGGACCGAATACCCGGACAGCTAATACAGTCAATTGCCATCCAGCTGAATCCCAATAAGTGCTGCGCCATAGCATGTTGCCATGACAACGGAGGCCTGTCTGAGAACGAAGGCAGGAGGGTGGTTGTGTTTTCATCAGTCTGAGAAGCTTTAAAGAATGGCGGCCATATTGTATTTGTTGCACAAATGCAAAATTGGAAACAAATTTGAAAAATAAACACAAAATGACATCAGTGATAAATTACCTACAACCCCCCCGGAGTAGGATTTACTGTGCTTTTATTAACAACTTCCAAACGGTTTGTACCTGGGACAAAAATTAGCAAAACATAAAATAATAGTAGTTATCAAACTGAACTGCCTGTTAATGTATCACAAATGGCAGTAACTAATAACTGCTAATACGTTGTAATTTGCAAAAACTAAATCTCACATGGATCAAGGCAAATTAAAAATGTTCTCGTTTTCCACAAAGCGAGCATGCAGAACTAAGAATAATTTTACAGCACAGACACACTACATAGAGTTCAGAAATGTAGTTTAGAGTAACCATTCACCAGAACGTCTTCGGAGAAAGAAAATAATAAGTCTGCTAAATTCTACAGTTATCGTGTGACTTTAACAGCAGTCATAAAGAAGAAAAAACACAGTAATAATGTGAAATAGTAACTTCTGAGCTTAATTTTGACATTTAAATAACATTGTCGCAGGTGTGATGATTCACAACTTACAAGTGTAAAGTGAGTGTGTCCTAGCAGATACAGTCAGCATGCGTAAGACATGACTCAGTACTGACTCAGACCACACTGACTCTGATATGAGTAGGCCACAGTAAGAGCACCATGTGAAACATCCTCTTTTAAAGTCAGAATGAATGAACTTTAACTTCCCCTAATAGTTGCAGATTGCAGATTACTTTCGTTCACTATCGAAATCAGACTAATCCACAAATGCGGGTTTTGTCAGTGTGTACAAAGTATGTAAATCCCTGTTTAACCAGAAATCTATCTTGGTAGCATACTTCAAGCTAACAGTGTGCTCCAGTGTGCAATCACTAAAAGAATAAGGTATATGTTCTTGGAATAAATTAATAATTAATACTATTTGCATTAATTACAATGTTATTATCAAGTCAGCAGAATGTCTCAGCTTTTCATAGCATTCATTGTGGCTACATTATATCAGTGGTCCTACTCTGCTGCCATTTCCCTCATAAGGCATTAATTCGTAGCTCCTTGTAGTGAGAGTTGACGGCAACTTTCTGTGAACCAACTGAAAGGATGCCTCAACTGTCAACTGACAGGCAACCAAAGAAGAGACTATATGACTCATCGGCACATAACTATCTGCATGACATTTTCATACAAGCCTAGGCACTGGGAAGAAACGGCCTGTCGTGATAACTTTGCAACCATTTCTAGAGCACAGCTGTGGTGGCACGCCAGATGAATGACTATTAAATTTAATTATCGTTAGTTTTTATAAAAAGTAAAATTCTATAACTGAGTACCAAAGCCAGGTGCACGCCATCACTTCCGCTGTTTTCAGAAAGAAAAGAAAAAAGTTTTCTCATGACTTTGTTCTTGGATTCGTACTTAACCAACTCCAGCTGTTCATGACATGCCATTTCCATGTATGAAAAACAAAGTTAATCTCAGGGGCGCAAAAAACAAGGGAGTGGATAGGAATATAGAGAAATTAAGAGTCACATCACTGTGCAATTGTAGGTGAGTGGCAATGGCTTTGGAAAATATTTAGTCATGTCCTTTGAGTAGAAATTCACTCTGACAGTATTTCTATGTATGATAGACTCTCATCAGATTGTTTTCCGGTGTGACTCCTAGGCTACTAAACAGCTCCACCGCAACATTTGCAAGTTCAATGTCTTGCTCAAAGCATGCTGACAGTCGTCTTAACATGCCTTCCCACATATTACTGACGCTAGCCGTGTTTTGAAAGAATAAATCCTTTCCACAAAGTATTCATTCCCCCATGTTGTAGCACTCTCAGTTAACAGCTGCAAATATCAAAACAAAGTAGTTAGTTCTCCACCAAAAACAACTGGCAATAATATAATTAAAAATGTCCCAGTTAGCCTGTAGAAGGGTTTAAAGACGTTGTGTACAATAGAAACAATATTAAGGGAGACAAAAAGGACACTTTAGATAGTAATGGCACAACCTTAAATCAGTTCAGTAACAGCTACAATAGAGCATGTTTTGCCAGAATGGTTTTAATTTTTATGTGGGGACTTTTTTTAATGAAATGGGATGGAGATGATGATGGCTTGAGTCACCAGAGCTGTTTGCCAGACTGTTGACAGCGGAGCTTCTCTGTCAGGACATTACTGCCATCTAGTGTTAAAATGCAAGTACAGCTCAAATATTTCCAAATATTAAATGTGCCTACCTCTGGGTCTTTTCAAAACAGTCAGAATCATCATTTTGTAAGAATCTGATGTTATTGTTTTTTGTCCTTTTTTTTTTTTTTTAGATGACCGTGGTGTCCCCATGTACTCAAAACCTCATGGATAGCGCTCACCCTCACACTGTGCTTAGCAAGCTCAATGAGCAGCGCTCACAAGGCCTCTTCTGTGACGTTACCATTGTGGTGGAGGATGTGAAGTTTCGGGCCCACAAGAACATCCTGGCAGCCTGCAGCGGGTACTTCAGGAATGCTCTGACAACTTCTGAGACATGGAGCTCTAGCCAAGTGCTGGAGCTGATGGACCTGAAGTCTGAAGTGTTTGCCAGTATCCTCAACTTTATATACTGCTCTAAGGTGGCATCCCCTGGTACAGAGGACACAGGGGGTCTTGTAGCAGCTGGCAAAAGACTTGGAATTCCTTTTTTAGAGAAGCTTGCAGAACAAGAGAGGCAGGACGAATGTGTCAAATCCACAGACTCCTGTACAGCTCCGGTGTCTAAAATAACAAAGAAGGAAGCCCCTAGGCCTGAGGAGACAGACGGTGCCAGAGGGCCACGCATCACCAATGCCTTCTCGATCACTGAAGTGTGTCCTGGGAACAATCCTTTCACCCCTCTGGTTAAAACAAATGGGGACAGGCAGTCACCAGACGTGGGACAGCTCCCATCAAGTTGTCCTACAACGTCCTGCTTCAACGGGAACAATGAGACGACCCACGCCCTCTCAGAACACTCTTATGCAGTAAGCAAATCTACTGAAGGCAAAGATAGCAGTCAGTGGGACAACAAGAAGGTCTGCAAGCCAGCTGTTACACAGCCAAAGCAACTCATTTACAGGAATGCAGGCCCGCTCAAAAAGCGCCACAGGTTGAGAGGAATTGTGGGTAGAAGTATACTTCCAACACCAGCTGAACCACAAACAGATAAACCAAATACAGGAACCCCCACATTAAATGATGGTGGTACTGCAGAACCTGTCGCAGTTATGGCACCACCTCCACTTTTTTCAGAGGCTGAAACAGAAAAAAGTGCCGACACAGGATTACCTACGGCCACTGATGATCCTCAGATGGAGCTGGGTCCACCGACCCTTTCCCCTCACACAGAGGACAGCATTTCAATCTACAGCTGCGAGCACTGTCCCGAGATATTCACAAATAAAGCTCTTCTCACCATTCACTCAGAGGTACATAAAAAGCGTTTTGTTAGTCATTTGTTTTGCACGTTTTGCCGCAGAAAGTTCATACACCTCAAACGACTACGGAACCATGAGCAGGTCTGTCCTAAGGCTGCAAGAGGCCCGCCTAAGCTAGACACCAGTGATATATCAGCCAAAGACATGGATCACCATTCAGATGAAAAGTCAGACACGGAGGGCGTCCTCACACAGCCTCCTTCTGAAGACCCCCCCAGCCCTTACACGCCAGAACCGGTTCAAGTGGACCAATCAGAGCCTCCACAGGAGGAGAAGGCCGTGAAGCCTAGTGGTGGTCAAAGGAGATACAACTGCAGTGTGTGTAAACGGGTCTATGTCACCCTGTCCAGTCTGAAGCGGCACGAAAATGTACATTCCTGGCAGAGGGCCTATCCCTGCCATTATTGTAATAAAGTGTTTGCTTTGGCAGAGTACCGTACTAAGCATGAAATCTGGCACACAGGTGAACGCCGCTATCAGTGCATATTCTGCCTGGAGACATTCATGACATACTATATCTTAAAGAACCATCAAAAGTCCTTTCATGGCATTGATCCCACTCTAGCTGTTAAAAAGAAATCCGCCAACGGTGGGCTGAAAGCCAGCGTTTATCCAATCAAGCTCTACAGGCTTCTACCCATGAAGTTTAGAAAGAGACAATACAAGACGTACAGTCAGACATATTCCGAGAGTGTTGAAAGAGGGGATCAACCTTTACGAGACAGCAGCTCTCTTATCCCTCCATTTGAAGAAAATGGTGTGATCAGCCACCCTGACGCTGCTTCATTTCCTCTGACATTCATGGCAACAACAAAAATGGTCTCACCTGTCATGCCTCGCATCAGCTTTGACAAGCCATGTGACCAAGATATTGACCAATGTCTGAACAATGAATTAGAAATTCAAGGAGGCACAAGAAAAGGGGCTGAGAACAGAGATTCACCCTTTATTAACTATGACAGTACCTTCTCTGTGCAACCCAATACAGAATCTCCTGCAGGTTACAAAGATGATCCACCAGTGTTAATTAACTCAGAGCACATGAGTCATAATGTGCCATTCTTCAACTCCTTAAGCACTGTTAAAAAGTTAGGTGAGCTGTCCGCTTCTGCAAAAAGAGTTGAGGAAATGACCAAGGAGATACTTCAATCGAGCACAGAGAATCTGGGGCGCGATAAAACGGTGGGAGCAAAAACAGAAACATATATTGCCAAACCTGCTTGCCCGGGTCCATCTGTGGACAGCGATGCTATGCCACTCTGTCAGATAACAGTGAAAATTGGCAATGAAGCCATCATCCGCCGCCAAATCAAAGGATCTAAGCTCTTCCCCAGAAAGAAGAGGAGAATCAGAGAGCTGAATGAGGAACGGAGCCCAAGTCAGTGCCCTCCAACAAGGGAAAAATCAGAGAGTCCCAGGCTCCGCCTCAGACCAGGAGGCACTGCCACCACAGAGCCAGAGACATACGATGATCCCAATGACTGTGACACAGCTGATATGCTTTGGCGTCCCTACTATTCTTACAAGGCTAAAAAGAAAAGAAAGAAGCTCAGACACAAGCACAGAAAAGCTTTGTTTCACCATTATCCTGAAACATCAGGAGACAGGACTGCTGCCAGTGAGGCCCACCTTGATAGAAGTAGTTGGCTGACAGAGGAGAGCGTCCCAGGTGGCAGCACAGGGGTGAAACATAGCCTTAGCAGGAACTGCAGCCCGAGGGCCACCTACAACTGTGACATCTGTGACAGCTCTTTTATCACAGAGACCGGTCTGAGAGCTCATGTTATTGGTTCCCACCCGTGTTTCTGCCGGACCTGTGGTAAACAAGGCCCCCCTGGTGAGGCGCCTGCCGGCGGAGATTACATCTGCAACAGCTGTATGGAAAACGGCTCCTGCTTTGATAATACACCCCGGAGCCCCAACCCAGAGAAGAAGTATCGCTGCTCCTTCTGTCCCCAGCGTTTTCTCTACCTTGCCACCAAGAGGAGCCATGAGAAAAAACACCAGGAGACAAACGAGGAAGGATACAATTATGACAACTTCACACCATGTTCTAAATACTCAGCACACCTGAGTGAAGACAGTAAACAAGACGCCATCAAAACAGAAGACGGTGACAATCAAGGCATTGACATCAAACGTGAAAGGGTGGAAGGAGAACATTTTTCCATCGATAAGAATAGGCCTAAAATCGAGGACACAACTGACTTCACATCTTTGACGACCTACCAAGACGTGTCATATTCCAACATTAGGAGTCCGTTATCGTCCTGCATTGACCCACTGTTTTCATTAACACCCCCAAAGGTGAAACATAAAATGGCAAAAAAGAGGATCAGTGCACAGCATTCTCTGCATCTCATTACAAAAAAACAAACCTGTGACAGAGACAGTGAGAGCAACAGGGACATGTTGGTGGGACCAAGAACAAACAGTCACAATGATCGCGAGAAGTCCTGTAAACTATTCAGAAGAAATGACTCAGAATCTAAAAGTACCCACATTTCTATACACAAGCCAGAGAAATGGGTATGCAAAGAGGAGCCATTTTTTTAAAGGACTTTGAGAAGTGCGACCAGCTAAAGGCAAAAGAAAACATGAATAATATTTGAACTCAAGCCACTGCTTTGGTTGGGAAGTATAAGATTTGTAATGTTGTTTTTGCAGCTAAGCTCAATAAAGTGTTTTTAAAAAATGGCACTAAAAATGAGCATCTAATACCAGTGTAGGCTGTAATTTCTTCCCTCCTAAACCAAACGACTCAGTGATTTTTTCACATTTGTAGAGGATATTTTTTGCATAATATAGGACCTCCTGACACAGACTGTACTTTGTCTATTGTCTATGCATGTAAGCAGACTCGGTGACATTACTGTAACCTGAAGAAAAAACATAACTCTTGGTGATGTTTCTTCAAATGTGCAATATCAAAACAGCATTTGTAATGTGTTGGTCAACTGAAAAGCTGCCTAGTCTTCACTTTTTTTAAATAAGTTTGAGGAAAACATGAATTTTAAGACTGTCACATTTCTGAATCTCCCATTCAGTTAACTGGTGAGTTGCACTTTATCGTTAGACTATGCTAATTTGTTCAATTCTTTGATAATTCAATTTCCATTTTAAGCACCACTGATATAATTCTAATTTCTAATTAACACATGGTACCATTGAGATTAAAGTTACTACTTTTGTGTGTTTAATATGTATAAAACATGTAAAACTATTTAAATAAATATTGCTGATATTCTAAACAGTTACATTTTGTCCTCCTTTGGCTGAGATACAATAAATGCTTGACAGTTTAACAGAACGCATCACACTGATGCTTAATGAAACACTGATGCTGATGATTAAGGAAAAGTCCCAGAAACATCCTCCAGTTAAAGTGTAGAGTGTGTTTTTAAGCAGGACATTTTAAAAGATTTAACCCATCATATTGGTACAAAACCTGTTCCATGGCAAGCAGTTTCCTAAATAGAAAGCCACATGGTGGTCATCTGCTCCGCCTGGTTCTTCTGGGACCTGCAGCGCATTTGAAAAGATCATTCCCTCATTCTTCCACAAAAACTGCATCTGTATTTAGAGTTGGGCCTCAAGACACAATTTCCAGATGTTTCTAAATTCCTTGCTTCTTTCTATGACTGGGTGTGTGATGTAACAGATGGATCATACATTATAGACACTGCTCAACACACCAATAATGCCATGGAGGCAACATTTATGCCTAACCCACCCTAATATATCATTTAATAAAGGACGAATCAAAACACTGATAGCAACAAATCATGTGAGGTTATTAATGCTTTACCAGAATAAATGTGAGCAGCATTTAGATTTTTTTATTCTGTAAGTACAGCTACTGAGGTATTTCACTTGGAAATAAGGATAAAATTGCACTAATCTAAAGACAACTCTTCATATTATAGCAGTGTGGTGAGGAACATAGCTTGCAACAACCTCACTGTACAGCTAAAGAGGGTACCAGCTCACTATATTTGTACAAAACCTGCAATGATTACTATAGTACTACATTAAAAAAATAAATAAATAAAGTATTAAATACGACCCGAATATAGAGTAGATATAATAATAAGCAGCTCTATATATTTTTGGATTTTGCCAAACACTTAATAAAGATTTCACTGGTCTTATTTAGAAAAGGATTTCAACCACAAACATTTGTCTGATATTACTGTACCTGAACTACTATAATCCAAAAAGCTAATCTGTCAAAGACACAAAATATTTTACATTAGCAATTTTAATGTCACTGAATTTTGACAGCAAACAGTAGAGAAATGTGTGACATACTGTGCAGTTTTTAAGCAGTCCCACGTCTTTGACTTGCAAAACTAATCGGCTAGATGTTATCAGTGTATTGGTGTTATGAGCTATTGTGTGCTATGTGTTAAAAAGCTCGGAAAATACATAGAATTTGGCTCTAAAAGTTAAATCGCACACGTGACTGCCTTTCAGGCTCCCTGCTTCTACCAGTGAAGAGGATTAGACCCAATCAAAAGCAGCAGCACCTTGACAGAGATGAAGAGAACAAAGGATGTATGTGTTTTTATCTACACTGGACTCAAATGGGATAAAAACAGATTATATAAGCGTATTATCTGTAGAAATAAAATCCTGACATATTATATTTGGGACATCTGTGCGAAATCTCTGAAACTGTGTATTGCTTACTCAGTCAAATGGATCCCTAAGTATGAAGTGTATTTCAATAGCAGTATTTAGAAAACTCCGTAGAGAGCATGGTGTTAGTCAGGTCAAGTCAGTGCTATTTATATAGTGTTTTTAAAGCAACAGCAAATGTGTTTTACAGTTGAAAAACTAGAATGGTTTCAAAATAAACCTAACAAGGTTAACCATGGTGGTTCAGGCTCTGCGGTATCATTCATGTTGTCAATTTACCAGAGTAATTTAAATATTAAAGGTTAAAACTCCCCCCAAAAATGTATAAAACACAAGTTTACCTGGCCCTACAGTATTTTTAATTATGAATATTAACCTGACTAATTTAGAACTAAAGTTATGCCATTATGTTTGTTTTGTTTTATTAGATATTTTCCATTGAATTTTATTGCAAACAAAACCATTAAGACGCAACCACAAGTGAAAATCTGTTCAGCGGAAAAAACATTGAAAAAAACACAAACATTGCAGTTAATAACACAAGCATGTATAAAACTGATTTTATGAGGTCTACGGTGATATTCTAGCTTTTACCAGGGAGCTACAGAAACAGGCTACCTATGGTGTGTGTTTACATGCTGGCAGACATTTTCATGTTTAGGGTCATTCTCCATTTTACTATCATTTTGTGTTGCTTCGTTCCAATTAATGTTAACGAGCTGCGGGCAGTTTCTTTTAGCAAGACTTTTCAAATATACAACGTTTTAAGTAAATACTTTTAATCACGTTTCACCAGCGTTAAAACTGTGTGCCTCGGGAATGAGTTTTAAAGCGGCGGTACTTAACTCCTTCTCACCTGGTGATACATTTACATCTGCCTCACAGCGGCGCGTCTTAAACGGACGGGGTTAACTTAAAGCACCGGTGTCCGAGATTAGCCGGCTAAGCTAGCTACACAAGTCAAAGTATGTGTTCTCCGCTCAGCGTTGCATAATGAGCAACACCGCACATAGCGCTCAAATCCCTTTTTAAAACTCCTACCGCCACCTCCACACTGCAGTGCTAGCCGAAGCAGGCGGCTCGACTTTTTCTTTTCTTTTGAGGAAGCTTTCTCCAAACGTTTTGTGGCTTCAGTGTGTACGGGACCTGACGTGACGCGGTAGTGGGGCTGGCTCTCCTCCACTCTGCCTGCATTCATAAACGGATATGATAAACCAGCGCTGAATGCACCGGAGCAGCGACAACGGGCAGCCCTGACCATGGCGGAAGAGGACGACGCTAGGATTCGGATTTTACAGAGCCTGCGGGGGAAGATATGTAAGTCTGACCGGCGGGCCGACGTTTTCTGTGTCTCACACGGGGAGAGAGGTCGGTAAACCAGGCGAGCGGAGTGTCGGAGCCCGGAGGGGCGCGGCGTGCTATCAACAGTCGACAGAGTGAAGCCAGAGACAGGCGGCTCATCTAGTCGGTCTGCTGCCTAACGTCAAGTTAGCCTAGCATGCTACCAAAAGCTACTAGCCTGTTGTGAATGATTTCATTCACCCAGAACAGCTTCGCCGCCGTCAGTTAAGCTCTGAAAACACACTGGGCGTTTTGTGCCTGTTAGAAACGTTAGCTTTTGTTGTGGAGGTGAGCTGTAAGCTAAGGTAACGTTGGTGGCACAGTAGGCTAGCTGCTCTCAGCCACTTCAGTCCGCCGTCACTAAGCTAACCCATTCAGCTATAACGTTACTCACTGCAGGCGTCTGACAGCCAGGGAACTTGGCTAATCGTTGATAATTACGGCATTAATTTAAGCGACAACACCTAGTTTAACAAATGAAGACTCACACATCAGAGTAATGGTCACTCACCCTCTGGGATTGAGCGACACCAAAACATCTACGTTAATGTAACCCGGGAACGTTACATGCCACTAACATACTCATAATTATTGCGTATTGTATTGGTAGTTTATTGGCTGATAAATGAGTGATAGAGTGAGTCTTCTTTTAGCAAACTCCTTTTTTCTCAGCATGTCTCTGAGTCGCCAGTATTTGCTCTCTGATCTACATGTGGAGGCATTAATCAAGACACATTTCAATTAAAATATAATGTCTTAACATTTGCCACCATATTAATGATTAAATCATAAATCGGAAAGAGTCAGTTGGTTTACAGCATCAAATAATCTATTGGCAAGTTAAACTGTAGTTACTGTAATATCACTGTAACAATGAAGAAACATTGACTTTGAGGTAAAATACCTCAGCAGCCAGCATCCAGATCTTCATCCATAGGCTGGGCATCTGATTGAATATTTAATTTTGTTTTTTGCCAAATTAATAAGATCTTTATGGCTGCTTGCTTCAAAAGTTTCAGCCACTGCCAGTGGTAAATGTTTCCTAGTCGCACTACTTCATTGTTAAATAAATGTCTTCAAAAGAAATTAATTTAACATAATCTGGTAGTAAAGAAGGTTTTATTTGATTAATAACAATAATTGCTATTGTTGCTATTTTAAACATGTCTGATAAAACATTTTTACTAATACAGGGTAAGGCGACACTTTGTTTCGAAAATAGGATCAGACTACAAATATGAGTTGCTGTAGATGTGGTTTAACAGTGTGTATTTACTGTAAAGTGAATATAGGCTAACGGGTATGTAAAGCTTGTATGCAGATGCACACAATAGGATGACAAATGTCAGTTTCACTACTATGAATTAATGAGAAAACAGTAAGCAGAACAAAATAGAGGAACTGTCATGGCATGTAACTCACTTTGCAGTCTTACGAAACTCCATTCTTCCTCGTTCACACTTTGTCCTTTTTCCTTTAGCCTACATCAATGGAGGTGGCATTCTGTCAAGATGTATTCTTACACCAACTTTTACATGGCCATTGTGCTTGTATTTGTATGTGTTTGTTTGTTTAGTAGTCAGAATACAATCACAAAAACACCAGTTGATAAGTGATGAGGTGGCCTACAGCCAAGACAGGTACTGTTTAGGCTTGCTCTTTGACCCCTGGGTCGTGTTGTTCACTGGGTGACACGCTTCAGTTTTAGTGGAAATGTAATGGAAGAGAAGAGAAGAGATGACAGCAGGGCTGGTTGGCTAAAGTGTGTGTTTGTGTCTGCGTACATATGTGCTTGTGTGCTCTACTCCCACCAGGTCATTCTGGTTTAAGTGACGGCTTGACTGTTTCACTGGCCTTTCCTAAGATGGTTTATTTTTACTCGCTGTGTTTTTGTATAGGGACAAGTATGTAGCATGAACTGAGGCCACACTCCACAGCATTTATAGCCTAAGCTAATTTGCAATGCCTGTCCCTAACCATACACCATTATTAATAGCCTGTTAAAAAGCTGATCTCACTGGTGGCTTTTCTTAATTAGGTCCCTACCTGGGCTTAGGGTACCAATCCACAGCTAGAGGACTAAATTAGACCATTGCCCCTCTAATCCCCCGGTCTAAATCTGACTCAGTGTGAAGTTATTGGTAGTACTGTGTTTGTGTGACTTGTTATCTGTACTGGCAATTCAGGGTTAACTTATCTGATTTGGTATATATTTTTTTGTTTATGTGTTGCATTAAACCCCATGGCACGCAATCTGGGTTTGCCTGCAATGCAATGGAAGTGGTGTGTGTTACAAAGGTGTTTGTCATTTGTGAATCAGCGCTGTACTGTCGCCATTGGATATGCTGAGGAAGTCAATGTTTCATGTTTTTAACCACATACGAGCCTCAAGTCTACTTCAGCTACATCCGCTCTGCAGCTTGCCCTGACAACTGGCAGGAGCCTGTGTCCCCAAATGAACACGAGGATGTTGAACATCAAAGCATATTTTAGAAGTGTACCACATATGATTGCTGGCATTTTTGTTATATTGATTAGAATTTGGTCATAGTCCGAATCAGATTCAATGAAAGACAGGTTTCCTTTTTTGGTTAAGATTGAAGTTAGAATTTACTAAACTGCAACAGTTTTTTTTCTTTAGACTTTCAGAATTGTCAGGCTCTTGGACTGCCACTTATGCATTGTAATTAATTATCAGATGAAAGTTGATGTTTTGTTTTTTTGAGATCTGAAACTTAAATACATAGATTGTGTTCTCGTCCAGAATCTACTGAAAGGAAATTGTGAATCTGATGAAATGTTATGTAGTTCACCTCTCTGTTATTTCTCAATAGTATGTTAATCGTATGGGTGGGAATTGTTAGTGGGCCAAAGACGGTGTCCGTCTGTGTATTGAATTAATGGATTTTTTTCTATAATGTAGTAAAAACTTCTGTTATTTGGATGCCAATCATGATGATAATGCTCTCCTTTTGGTACTGCAGGTGAAGCTAAAAACCTGGGTCCGGTCTCGGGTCCAAATCGACAAAGAGATCTCTGCACCTTTTGCACCATAAGTCTGGATCAGGAGGAGGTGTTCCGCACCAAGGTGTTTGACAAAAGCGGCAGGTAAGCAGGATAATCCTCTAACATGCATGGATTGAATTTTAATGCTGATCACAGTTGTAAACCACTTTGTTTTAATGCCTTTTTTCTAGGTAGAGTTTCAATTTGACACCTGTTACTTTGTAATTAAGTGTTAATCTAAATAAATGTAGTGCCTTTGGACAACCTAAGGATGTACAGAATTTATTTCTTAAATCGGTAGATGCCCAAACATTATATGACTAGGTGAACTCAAGAAAGGGACATTATTTTTGAATTTATTATGTCATGTATGTAGCAGGCATTGAACAGATGAGCTGTATTCTATACTACAATGTTGACTTGTTATTATTGTACATCATTAATAAAATGTTATTGACATGAGCTTTCTTGATATTGAGAGGATTGTAGTACTTCACAAAACTGGTACTGTTGCAAAAAAAACATGGCAGCAACACACCTCACAGACTAATCCAGAGTAGGCTCATTTAAGTGTTAAAATACCAATAGTAGCATGGAATAAAACGTACATTGGCACACTTAAGGTATTCAGAAAAAGTGTGGCTGATAGTGTCGTATGAGACTTCAGTTATTTGTTTCCTGCTCCGTGCCCTATTTGAAAAGGACACCTTCCTCTCAAAAAGACACAATTTCTTTGTGATTCAGAATGTTTGTGTCTGGGTTTTATGACTATCATGTCAAGTCATTGGTCACCTCATTTGTAGCAAGTAATGCTGGCTATGCAATAAGCATCTTTCTGTTATTATGCAGGCAAAGGTTTCAGTGTTAGTATGTGCTATTTGAACCATTTCTTTATCAGTTTTTTATTTCATTTTAACTCAGTAGTGCATCATTTGTATGGTTACATATGTGTAACATTCAATCAGGTCCAAGTATCTTCACAGGTTTACAAATGGGAGAAATTGCTGCTCTTCTCTAGTGAATGTTGGTAATCTGTCATGATTCACAACTCAGTAAATTCAACCCCAGTTATATTAATGTACCTTAATGTTAATTGGTTATATTCTATTCATCCATTATCTATACACCGCTTAATCCTCACTGGGGTCGCGGGGGGGCTTGAGCCTATCCCAGCGAACTTAGGGCGAAGGCAGGGGACACCCTGGACAGGTTGCCAGTCTATCGCAGGGCTACACTTAGAGACAGACAACCAAGCACACTCACATTCACACCTATGGACAATTTAGAGTCACCAATTAACCTCAACATGTTTTTGGACTGTGTGGAAGGAAGCCGGAGAACCCGGAGAGAACCCACACTGCACGGGGAGAACATGCAAACTCCATTGGTTATATTGTTCTTTAAAAAAACAAAAAAGAATTTATCACACTTCAACTCTGGACTTTTCCTGTAAATGTAACTATTGCATGCAAACGTCACAAATGGTTGTTCGACGGCTAAATAAAGTCAAAGATAATATGCAAAATTGCATTGCAGGAGCAAAATTGATTAAGCTATGATTATTTGAATATGGTTCATAAAACTTTATAGTGAATGTCAGCCATATCAGCACAGCGTATACTTTCATTTCTGGGGTGGAAGTTTAGTGGCTTCTTTTGGGGATAGAATTAGGAAGAATTTCTTCTTTGCAATGTAAGACGTGACTGGAGAGAGGCATGGGCTAGTCTGTTTTGGAACAATATGTTTAGCTTCTGTTATTCATTGTGTAATTTTCAGTTTGTTTTAAGAACAGAAGTCAAAACATAAAAAAAAAAAAAATAGAAATATCCTGTTGATAAAAATCTCTCATGTGGAAACAGTTACACTAAACCCTGGCCCCTTTATATTTGTTGCGCGCCTGGCATGGAAGAAATGTCCGGTTTTAAATGCAGTTGTTTGATTACATCTCAGAAACTGTCAATATGTGGCTCAGAGCTGTATGTGTGTGTGGTATCCTTTAGGCTGGGAAACATTGAATGATTATGACTGAAATAAGCCATTTTACCAATAGCTACATGTTACCAAGCAGTCAGAGAAAGGTGTGGGAGATCAGGAAACCTTTTAGGTTGCCATCTACATCATTGCACATCTCACTGTAAACATGGGCCTGCCTTCTCTTGGTATTTCACAACAGCTCTTTTCTTTTTTTTTTTTTTTTTTATCTCTCCTGATTTCGGTACCGTTCAAAAGGATTTTACAGTCTCTGAGGAAGTGTGTCCTCCCACGCTCTCCCCACTCTTTCTCTCTGTGTCACTCTCATCTACCTTAGCCACTGTTTAGCACATCTTAATAATCACTCAAATTTGGCCCACTGCTTATTTGATGGTGCTTGACTCATGCCTGTTGTATGCGCTCCTGTCTCTAATTGTTTAAAGGCTATATGGAAGCTCTAATTGCAGCTAATCCCTAGGATAAAGGAGGCATGTTCAAACAGCTGTGGTCAAGTGGTTCTACCTAGCGTTTGCACATTATTTAGAAACCAGGATGACAACAGAGGGAAAGGTAGTATGGTGGGTGTATGTTCGAGTGTGTACAGAACAGGGGGGGTTACAAGTGCGTAGTTCCATGTGATGTGTGGGTGTATGCTGGATATGTTGGCCAAGCCGTGTGTGGAATAGTCAGACAAGATATTTCACCATCCAAGATGCATAAGTTGTTGAGGAAAACATGTAGGGACCGAAGAGCTATAGGACAATGTTCTGTCAAAACCACTATTGAATATTAATACAGACATGCCTACTCATTGGGCTAATTTCCAGTTTCTAATCCAGTGTTTAGCACTTTGAAACTGAAGAAGTTTATGGGTGTGTATTTGCTGCTGTCACGTTTTAACTCACTGTGGACTTGTTTACCTCTGCAATGGTTCCTTACCTCTGTGGAAACAGAGGCTTAAAGTCGAGAGAACTTAATGTCTTTTGTGCAGTATGACAACGTTATAATGTCAGACATTATCAAAAAGAAAAACGTGAAAGTTAAATTATTTAGATTATTTGTTTTGCAAATCTGAAAAAAAGGGAAATCAACTTGTACAATATTTTTCCAAGTGCCCACAGGTGTTACCAATTCTGGAGAAGTGGTGACTCTACATACTATTGATACTTCATGACTTACATTTTCTAATTTGCTTCCTTCCTTTCTCCTATCTGTTCTTTGTAAACACTGCCTGTAGTTCAGCCCAGTTCAGCTGGAAAGTTGTCTTGTGACTCTTTGTCACTGCTGAGTCAGTAATGGTCATGGTTGCACTTCGGAGCCTGGATTTTTTTTGTTTTTGTTTTTGCGTTGTCTGATTTATGTGAGTGGATTATTGTGGCAGATTTTTAAATGAGCTTACATTTGGTTGGCTTGTCTGATGCATCAGTATGTGACACGTGATTAGTTCAAGTTAAAAATCTGATCATTTTCTTCTGGTTCTGATAAATGGTGTAATTTTGTCAAATTATTTGAAAGATAAATGTGCCATTAAAACCCACCTGTTCAGAAGGTTAAAATGGAGGACATGTAATTGTAAATGAAGGTCATCAGTAGATTTTAGACCAGTATCTGAGTGGCGAAGTTTTATTTTATTTTTTATTCTTATAACTGCCCTACATATACACCAAACAAGTATCTACCAAGTTGCTGTCTATTACTTTGATGCTGAGTTTTTGTTTCATGTATTTCCACAAGTGAACAAATCTCCCAACTTTGTCAACTGAACTGGCCTTTAAATTTAAAAAAACAGGGGTTACTGCTGCAGCTTTACTTGAACATATGAAGGTTTACCCAACTGTCTAAGTACTGTTCAGTCTGTTTGGGACAGGTGGTCCATCTGCAGGCAGCACGTACATCGAGGTAGTGCTTAACCTACAATCGGCTATGTCAGATCAAGCTGTCTGGCTCGCAGTCTTGGTCGTGAGGTAGTTATGTTGGCAGGGCTGAGTGGCACAGATGCTTGGGCCCTCTGTGTTTCTGCCAGCTCCTACCGGGCAGTCAGTCCTTGCACTGAACAGCAGAGATGTAACCACTTTGCTGCTTGGCTCGGTTATATAGCATTGATTGGACTTTGCATGTTCCTCCTTTGTCTGTTTAAGTTTCAGGTGTCCAGGTTTCCTCCCACAGTTTCGAGACATGCAGGTTTAGGTGGACTGGAAACTTTAAATTTGCCTACAGGTGTGAATGTGTTGTCCGTTGGTGTGATATCCTTGTACTGGTTTTGCAAGCTGTCCTGGCCTCTTTTGTTGGGCTGAATGATAATTTGGAGCACGATGTTGTCAATAATATTTTTTCAGATTTGAATGTAAATCCTAATATGGCAAATATAGGCTGAAGTACTTGTAAAATGGATATTTATTACAAGTTTCTCAAAGATTTAGGTCAGACAGAACTCTTGTAGAACAAATTTGATCATTTTTACAAAATATTTTCTTCAAAACCATCCATGCAAAATATATTTTTTTTAAATAATGTTGCAGCACAATGTATCATCACAGAATGACTCTACTCATAGTCCACATGACACATTTTTTTAGATTTATTTTATTAATCAGTTTAATTCAGTGAGTTAAAGGAATCTAACACCAAATTAACATCATAGTCAATTGCTAAACAGTTTGTACGCTGCTAGACAGCATGAAATGACTACTTGGGAAACTACATGGCAAAAGTGACAGATTTAAACCTACAACATACCAAGAACATTCCTCTCAACCCTGATGAGTCATGAGGGCACCCTGTGCTCTCCACCTTCTGCTCAGACAGTTCATTTTCCAGTAAATTAACAAATCCTGCCTTGATGATAGTATTGTGATGTTGCTTTTACATTTAGACTGGAACATAACACCATATTTATTTAGAAATTGTCCATTGTATGTTTTAAACACAACCTTAATTGTCTCGTTGTTACAACACAACAACAGTATGTTACAAGATTAAACTGATTAAGGGAACTCACGACTTTAAAGTATAGAATTAGGTCAGATGAGCGGCATGCATCAAGCCTCCATGCTGCAATGTAGCACCGGTTGCAGCATTTAAATCACTTCGATCATACTGCCACTTTTCAGCTGCGGTCAACAGTTTCTACATGTCAGTGTCTTGGTGTAGTCCAACATTTTCAGAAACTGCAGGCACATGTAGACCTGGCAGAGCAGTAGACATTAATGTGAAAGGAAACCGGAAATAAATCCAAGATCTACCAAGGACCCAAGTCTCTCTTAATGTCCACTCTTTATTTACAAGGAGGCCAAATTGCAAAGAAAGACAGACAGGGAAATGTATATTAATACTATACGTATTGCATTTTTATTATATGGAGGGAAATAAATTGCATTGTCAGTTTGCACTTGTTTTACGTGAATATGATATTCAGACTCAATAAAACACACAAGGAGCATTTACACATAAACCTTGAACCGTTAGGGTGGAGCCGCTAAGCTGGTCACCTGGTTCACCACAGACTATACCACCTGTGAAAAAACAACAACAAAAAAACGTGACCTTGTTTGCCAACTTTAACCTCTGCCTTTTTTTTTTTTTTTTTTTTTGCAGCCCCTTCTATGGAGAAGACTTCTACTTTGAGATCCCACGCCCATTTCAGTGTTTATCCTTCTATGTTTATGCCAAGAGCGTTTTTCAAAGGGACCTACCTGTTGGTAAGTAACACCCAGAAGCGCACATGAACTAAGTATATTTTCTTCTCAGAATTGGTGTGTGATAGTTTAATGTGTGTGCTTGCTTCTTTTCAGGCAAGGTGTCGATCCGGAAGGATGATCTATGTAAATACAGTGGGAAGGAGCACTGGTTTAGCCTTCATCCAGTAGATCCTAACTCAGAAGTTCAGGTAATTTCTCGGAAAAAGTCAATGTTTTTTTAGAAAGTGATCCATACATGTAATTTCAAAACTTGGCATTTAATTTAGAGCACATCCTATCCTGATTACAGATTTTTTTAAAAATTGGGATGGGCCTACATCTAGATGCTTAATAGTTTGCACTGAAGTTATTGGTAATGAGACTGCACCATGCACCTCGGTCTTTTTACAGCTTTCACATCTCCAACGTAACAAACAGGAAATTCACTTGCATGTGGTCTAAAATTTGCATAGAGATAAGATCACTTTCATGTCAAAATAAGGTTTAATAGTCTCTGTCCAGGCTGTCATGTTTTTACAGGCTGGGGGCACCGCTAGCCCCCGCTCAAAAACACACTGTCCTAGTCTGGTAGCAGGAATATGAAATGCGGTATCTAAAACACGAGTGTTGGGATGGTTTTGGTGGATTCTACATGAAAGAAAGTAAAATATTTCAGGGGCAAAACAAGAATCCTATATATGATAGAACTGGAGTGCATCTGTCTTGCACCTTTGAAGCCCATCGTATTGGGAACAGTACCACTACTGGAAATATTGTTAATGGTATTTTAGCATTATTTGTGCCACCTGCAAGATTGGGATTTGACGGCAACAGCATGCTAAGATCTATATTTCGACTCTTGCCTATAAAAGTTGGGATAAGATTCAAAGTATTTGGCACTAGCTCAACCCCACTTTCTTATAATGCAGATGTAACTAGCCTGTTGTTGTGACTGCACATAAGATGGTTACTCAGAGTTTGCCTATTGTCTTAATCTCGGTGGTTTTATGACACACCAATATGCCAACACCCTAAGGGTTGAAAGGTTAACAGATCATGCCACCAAGTTTTCTTTTATGAATTATTTTATACACAGATTTCCTGTTAAAGTTCCAGCTGCAGTCTTGGATTATCAGGTGTTTTTGGTTCAGTGTCTGCAGTATGTGTTTAAAAAAAAGCCTTTTTTTTTTTTTTTCGTTCAGAATTTTATTGATCATTTACAGGACTGCAGTTCTAGTTTCTCACATATAGGGCATGTATGTGGGTTGTTTTATTTCAACTGTATATTTCTTTGATCAGACAGTTTTTAGTGGTCTGATTGTGTTGGGTGAAACTACAGCACACTACCACTTTTTGTGCTGCTGTAGCTAACATGTTGACTCTAGCTGCCATTAGCCCACGCCAGACTATTCTGGGTATGTGCTGCTACACTGATTCACTCACAAGTAGACACTTTCAACTGCAAAGTTACATCAGTGAGTGATGGAGGTGTTATTGCAATGCCTCTCAGATTTGGTTTGTAGCCAAACAGGGACTGTGCATGCACGCTGCAAGCAGTGTTAACTCAAATTCCAGTGAACTTGCGCAGTTAATAAAGAATATTTGTATGGCAAATGATACATTTCTTTGACTATATTCATTACCCGGTAGTAATAGGTAATAGTTGTGATATGACTGTTAATTTACTGAGGATTGGAACCATTTGGACCCTTGCAGAGTAGTTCGTATTATATTGCCGTAAAGTCTTATCTTGCATCAGAAAGAACTTCTTGCCATCTTAGCCAAGTGCTGAATTGCAGAGACAGAGTGCAAGTGTGGGGGCGTTTTGTTTAGCTCTCTGCGTTGCTCACTCTCTCACTCTGAATGTCTCTTTCTCTCTCTCTCTCTCTCTCTCTCCCTCCCTCTCTCTCTCACTCTGACACTTCCGAAGGCAAGACCGGCAGCCTTTACCACATCCGACCCCGTAAAGATCTTTTGAGTGATGACAAAATTCACAGCTGTTGTGGCTCTTGTCGCACATGTTGCCTCTATTAACCTAAAACGAGATGATACATGAGGTGGAGCGCAGCCACAGGTCTAGCACTAATACTAAAGAAGAACTAGAAGCTATTTTAAATATGACTGTGTGAAATGTGTAACTTGGTACAAGCAAAAAGCATGAACAAAAGTATTTGCTGCTCTACAACTACACTTGTATCTGGTTTTACAACCTGCATATTAATTTAGGATTTCACTTAAAATTTTGAAGTTCTTGTGCCCTGATGCAAGACTGAAGTCTCTTGACTTGAATAATTTGTAACTTCTCCACACTCTGTCTGTTTTCTCATTGTTAACAGGGTAAGGTTCACCTGGAGATGCGACTGAATGAAGTGATCACAGAGAACGGCTCAGTAGGTCAACACTTAGTAGTCCGGTGAGTTTAAGATTTCATTATTGCCAAGTGTCGTCCGATACAGTTCATTGTTTTATGACCTTTTAAGGTTTGCAGTGAATTTGAAATCACGGTAGAATTTCAAAGACATGAACCAAGAGTGTGTTTCCAGTGGCTGAAGATCAAACCCTGACAACCAAGTTTCTCAGTGTGTTTGTACGTTGTTTAAAAAGAAGACAATTTTGAGCCAACGTTCTGCACTTAAGAGGGTCAGGTATAGATATATTCACATGTGTCTTGTATACACACAGGTAGATAGTACACACACATCAAGCAAAGGCTGCCTTCATGTGTAAATTTACTAGAGAACTAGACTGAGCCTGAAATAAGATACAAAAAAGAAGGGGAAGGACAAAGAGGCAATATTAGACATATGAACAAAAGGTGTGCATATGATGGACAACCAGATATCAAAGAAATACATACAGTATTGTGCAGAATGTGTAATTAGGTTTCAGGCTTGTCTGTCTTGGTAGGGAAACATGCTTTGTAGCTCTGAGCAGACTAAATGCCACAAAGTATGTATTGCACTTTTATTTCATAGGAAATGACTATTTCTCACGACCTAAAAATACTAGCACTTTCCTCTTCTCCTCTGAGCTACAGTGACCACATCCAGTCAAATATTTTTCAGTGCTATACATTTTCTCAATGATTATAGACGTGAGTTTATAACAACCGCCTGTCCAAAAATATGTTAGGAAAACTACAGGAAATGCACTATTTGTGCTGTATGCAAACTGCAAACAACTGCATATTTCAAAAAGAGGTTTATGAGAAGGAAACCAGAATGTCTTAAAGTTGTTATCAAAGAGGAGTTATCATTGATAAGAGTACGCCGTTTTCCAATCTTAACTCTCAGTAGGTTGTTGAGGGTTTTCTGTGTGTCACAATATTACTTTATCACCTTTACTTCTGAGCTCTACGCTTCATATCATAAAGTTTTCGCAAGCACAAACCGATAGACAGGCAGATAATGGCGTGGGAGGATGGTCAAAAGAAACCACTTGTTGCGTGAATAGGCTCAGCAACTATACATGTGTGTATGTCAGAAGTCAGGCTGTTTACGTATGTTGTTTTACATCCCCCACCCATTCATACTTGGAGAGCACGGTAATGAGGAGGAAGTGATGGCATCTGAGCAGGAAGCCTGCGCTTCTCACACTGCAACCGCTGTGGTTTTCTGCTGCTGTCATTCACTGTGTCACTCAGATTGTTTGCTTAAAGTGTGAACCTGCTCACTGTCAGCTCTCAACCACCTGTGGGTAGATGATGAACGCTGCAGGCTCATCTTGATCAGAGATGGTAGCAAAGTTCAAATCAAACATGTCAAGCTTATCACTCGCACACCTCTAGTCATCCTGCTGCAGCGTGATTATTCACCAGAGATGGTCAGATCGGAGCTGGATGGGGATGAGCTAAGACAGATGCAAAGGAGGCTATAGGGAATATTGTCATGACACCCTGGAAGATAATGCACAAACATCCTGACATTTGGCAGCTCAACTTCTCCCACTGGCCTCACTTAGCGATGGGCTGAATTCATGCTTATTCTCTGGCGACTCCTGCTTAGCAGCCACATCCTGTTTAGGGTGCCTACAGTGTCTGTTTGTTGTCACCTGCAACACCGGTGCAAAAAAGCTGTGGTCCCTGTGTGACACAAGCCAAACATGATGGCAAAGCATTACTTCTAAACCAAGACCGTAACACACTTAAGCAATCCACTTCCATCTTATGTTTATGTACAATTTATATTCCATTTCATGCCATTTTTAACTTGTGACCTTAACAGTTGATAGCAGATTAATCAACCTTGAGAACTGATAAACTGGACAAAAATCAAACTGAGAGAATCATTTTGAAATATAACCGACAATGTATGAAACGCTATAACCCTCGGTGTCTTGTGTTGCTAATAAGGATCATGACCAAATTTGTTGTTGTTTGTTTTATCTTAAAATGATATCAATGATTTAAGTCAGATTTTTACTTCAGTTATATTTTTACTTCAGTATTCTTCACATCTTACATAATTATGCGTGTTTGTGTGCGAGAACAACATAATTCTGATGGTGCAATAAGATTAAACTTTTTGAATTCATTCATTTTTAAAACCGTCTTAAGCTGATGCTCAGCACAGTGATTAATTAATCTGTCAGTAGTGGTACATGGATGTTACCTGAGGACAACGTGTTGATACATGTTTTTATGATTGTATGTCTGACGTGAGAGTCAGAAATATCTATTAGACCTGTGATTTGAGGCATCTATTGTTTCTTAAAAAAGAAAAAAAAAAACAAAACAGAAAAACAAGTTTCCTGTTTCAAGTATACAGCTTGTATTGCTGAGTGCTGTCATAGCTCAGACCATAAAGGGTTAATGACGGGAGCATTTCCACCAAGGCATCTGTTGAACCAACAAGAAATTATTTACCATCCGTGCTCTCAACAGTATCGTAAGCTAATCTCTGCCAAGGTCTAGGTCACTTTAAAGCCTGTGAAATCATGAAATATTAAAAGTTTTGTTCCATTATGACCAGATGCACAGCGGACTTCTGAAAGATAACATAACTGATCTGTTAACTATTTAAAATCAAAATAGTACCTAAGCTGATAAGAATAATTCAGGTAGTAGTAATGGTTTTACTTTTTGCCGTCTATGTTGTGTACACAGTTATATTCATTTTGTATCTCTGTATTTCTTTGTTAATCCCTTTAGAATAATAGAGTGCAAAGAACTGCCTTTGATCAACGGACAGAACTGTGACCCCTACGCCACCGTGTCACTCGTCGGACCCGCCAGGTAACTCTGAATGCTGCACATACACCAAAAGAGCTATTCTTTCCTAATGATCTATCATTATGGTGATATTCTCTTCATGTTTCTCAAACTATAAAACAGCTCGATGAAACATATGAGACTTATCTTTTTTTACTTTTAACGAATATTTAGTTGTGAAACAGTACATCACCAGATAATGTTATACTGTGTAGCCTGATCTACCTGACCCCTTATGAATATGTCCCACTAATGTGTTAGTATTATAGCCAAATTTAAATGCAATTGTTCAATCTGCCTGACAAAACCTCCTCAGGATAGTCCAAAGACTTTGAGGTCTGGCTGCTCATATTATGCCACTAATAGGACCTTGTCACAGCTAGTAGAACTACATCTGAGCATCTTAAGTCATGTCCTGACCATGTAAATACAGTCGCATATAGTGAATATAGTACTGAGAATTCTCAGAATTATTTACCCATAAATATCTTGGAAATAGTAGTTTAAAATGTCAGTTTCTGTGTTGTATCTCGTCAGGTCTGACCAAAAGAAAACAAAGGTAAAGAAGAAAACCAGCAACCCTCAGTTTGAAGAGACCTTCTTCTTTGAGGTAAATACTGCAACTCCACGTTTTGCACCCTCAAATGTTTGAGATTGGTTACATTGCTGATAGCTTACTAAAAAAAAACAAAGTAAGTTTGTTAGTAAACCTTGACATGTTCGTCCTCAGGTCACAAGGTCCAGCAGCTACTCTAAAAAGTCTCATTTCCAAGTGGAGGAGGAGGACATTGAAAAACTTGAGATCAAGTGAGTTTTTTTTTTTTGGTCTCTTC